TTAATTCCAGGGGTGAGCAATTTTTCATATAAAGGGATACAAAGTAAATGTTTTAAGTTTCGTGGGCCATAATGTTTCTGTTGGTATTACCACACTACTACTCACAGAAACAGTCATAGATGACACACAACAAATGGCATGGCCATGTTCTTATAATACTTTATAAAATAGGAAGTGAGCTAGATTTTACCAGTGGGCTGTAGTTTGCTAACTCCTGTTCTGTTTGTTCAATTGATCTATTTGCTTATCTTTATGCAACTTTTACACTGTTTTGGTAACTATAGCTTTACTAGTCATGAAATTTATAACTGATTTGATCACGTATCAAAAATAAAAATCAAATGACAAATTAGTAGGACTACTAGATGTTTAATGTAGCTGAACAAAAGATTATTTAAAAAACAAACCAGCACTCCTGCATGCTGCATGTTGGTAATGACCAATTAGGAAATGTAATAGAAAAAAAAAATCTTACATAGTAACACCAAAAGCTATACTACATAGGGAAAATCTAATCAGAATGATGCAAGAACTTCACAACATAAAAATGTACCACAATTTCAACCCAAATAGCAAAGTAGCTTATTTACAGAATTTCGCAAACAAGTTAAAAATTTTACACAAAAATCAAGAGAATGCTGAAAGCCAATTTTCAAACACCACAAAGAGAAGACTTGCTGCACATCTATTCAGACATACTCTAAAGATAACTAAAACACGGCATGGGCCTAGAAGGAGACAAGTCAGTGGGAGGAAATAAAACAAATTCAAGTGTACATAATAATTTATAGGACTGGGATCTAGCTCAGTGTTACAGAGCCTGCCTTGCAAGTGTGAAGCCCTTGTTTTGATCTCTGGCTCCACAAAAAAAATAGATAAATGATAAAGAATTTGTAAGCCAGGTGTGCACACACTTATAAGTCCTAGCTACTTGGTGGGGCTGAGGCAGGAAAATTAATTAAGCCCAGGAGTTGGAAGCCCATCTGGGCAACATGGTGAGAGCACATCAAAACAAAATCTCAACCCGCCCCCACACACTCTAAATCTATCTATCGATCAATTGATCGATCTAGGCATCACATCACTGAGGAAATAAGGAGCTATTCAAATATATACTTTTGGAACAACTGGCTCCATGAGCAAAAATATAAAGGGTTGTTTTTCACTACACACACATACTCCAGGGTTATTAAAGAAGTAAAAGGCCAAATTATAAGCATATTGGAAGAAAATATGAAAGGTATTTAGGACCCAAGAAGAGAGAAGTGTCTCACAAACTATCTTTGCCTATTTTAGCCAAATGAAAAAGTTTCAAGAGTACACTAATAAACATCCATATTCTTACCATCATTTAGGACACAAAACAGTACAAATACAATTGAACCCACACAAACACTTCTTGCTCACAGAAAGTTCAAGGTAGAGAGGTAAAATATACACAAAGTACTACAGGAACACAGAGAATACCCTATTCAGACATGGCTCAGGAGCATTCAGCTATAAAATAAGGACTAAAATGAGAAAACAGTATACAAATGGGAAATACATCACCTTTGACTGTGAAGTGAAGATCACCAATGGCAAAATCCAGTAAGCCAATCTACCAACCAGAGCTGTGCTATTTGAAATACGGTTCTAATGAATTCACTAGGGGATGTGCTAGGGGATGTAGTTGCAGGGGACACAGATAAGACAGACCATCCAAAGAAACAAACAAATAAGACTGTGCAGAAGACACCAATACGAAATGCATTATTTAGAAGTAAACGCTTAATCTTCTCTTCCTTAAAGAAAAGGATGAAACTGACTACTAAAGAGAATATGAGAAATTGAAGGCAGAATATTCAAATTTTAATAGGGCAACTCATGTTTTACTGGAACAAGTTCCTGAATAGGAACACCTGCAGCTTTAAAACAAAGTTATCACTACACATTAACAAATACAGCTCTCTGATTTGTGATCAACTAACTTCTCACGAAATTGCTCTAAAACATACTACTAGCTAACCACAGAATGAAAGTCTTCAGCCCTGTGATACTGTAAGTCATCCCTGCTTCTTAAATTTCTCATAGTTCCTGGTTACTATGCAACCATACAACATAATTTTTTCTTTCCTTTATCCACTTTCTTTTATTCTTTACTGAATTCTCTCCTGGCTGTTATCTCTTGGCTCTGAATGTATCCAAAGACAAAATATTTACTTCTTTAAGACATGTAACTTCAACTATTATCTTACTCTCAAACAAAATTTCAAGAATTCTGGCTTGAATCTTTAATTCTAGTTACAGAGTGTCCTGGATATTCTGCCTGACTCAAATCAATTTAATACATCTCAAAAGCATCTAGGAACATACATGCACATGTGCGTGTACAGGCATATATACACACAGCATTTTTTTAATCACAAGGACTTACCTTTTTTTCTCTACCTATAAACAACTTATCATTTTAAACTGCCTGTCAGTAAAGTCTCCTGCCCCCTTACCTATCCTCTATAGATTAGCTTCTGTTGGTTACTAATCTCATCCAGGCATCTTTCCTAATGTCTTCCTCACCTGTCTTTTTATTCTCTACCACAACCACTCTAACTTGGACACTGATCACAATATTTATAATTGCCTTCCGGCTTCCAGTTTCCTTCTTTCCAGAACATTCTCAACATTGTTGCTGGAACAACCCTTCAAAAGTTTTTAATTAAAGCCATTACCCTTCCTGAAAAGTTTTTAAAAGGGTGAATAATAATGCCAACTATTTTAGCTACCGGAGAACCAGAACCTAAATTGTTTTCGGTCTACCTGTCTTGTCCAATTGATCTTTTCTAATATTCAAGTGTATTTAGAAATAAATAAGATGGGGTATAACTCAGTTGTAGAGCACTTGCTTATCACATGGAAAGGCCCTGGGTTCAGTCCCCAGCCACAAAGTAAGTAAAATCTTTTTCCTCAGACTTCTCTCTCAAGCTACACTTCTAGAGAGAATTACTTAAGTAATTTGGCTTTTTACTCCAACCAGGCTGAAATTATTATTTGTTTTTAGTATTCCAACTGAAAGCAAATATTTAAGCTCCTCACTTTGCTTGGTCTCAGCATATCATTCACAATTTGGTCTTAATGTTCATTTCTCTACTAGCCACACCTAGATGATGAGCTCAAGTCATAACAAACTACTAGACTTCCTCTAAAACATCTTCTTTTAGAATCTGTACTTGTACTTATGCTATAGTTTAACTGCAGAATCAAATGCGTAAGACCTCCTGACTCTGTCCTATTCCACTGTTTATAATCTACATACACATTTCTTCTATGTCATGAGCATCTGTGTTCCCACTGCACCTTTATAGAGATCCCTAAAAGGATTCATAACATCACAGTGATCACACGCTTTCATATGCTCAGAATCTAACATACCTTGAGGCACCTAGTGGACAATTAAGAGAATGGTTTGTTTGTTTATGTATGTATGTGATGCTAGAATAGTGTATGTATGTATGAGGTACTGAGGATTGAACCCAGGGCTTGAAACATGCTAGGCAAGCACTTTACTACTGGCAACATCCACAGCCTAATGATAAATAATGACTTTTAAAAGATCTTCTGGTATAGCCATATCTTTCTGTCACTCATGTATACAATATGAAAAAACAGTATGCATTATAGTTAAGAGTTGGACTGAAGCCAGGCTATGCAAGTATAAATTTAGGATGTGACACTTAACAACTTCAGTACTTGGGTTTGCCTTTGTGTAAAAGCAAATAAGAAGACCTACTTCATAAGGTTATGGAGATTAAAAAGATTATGAGCAAAATGATCCAAACAGTGGTTCACACACACACAAAATTACATATATATTGGTTATTATAGTGAATACTGTGGAGGTTGCACATGCTAGTCCTGTACTGTTCTGTAGACTCCACTCTGCCTTCTATTCTATAGTATGAATGGGCTCCCTCCATTTTCCCCTTTATCCAAATTCAGGTTTCCAGGCTGACCTCTGAGAAATCCACTGAGTATTCCAATCCTCAAATGATCACTTTCTAACAAATTCCTACAGCACTCCATTGTTTAAACTGAAACTGCTATGCATTCAGATAATTTTTCACACCCAAGTCTTTCAACCCAATTTTGTAAAGTCTTTGAAGATCCTGGGTGGTATCTCAGGCATCTTTATGAGTTCCCATAGCACGTGAAATGCTTACTAAAATAATCTCAAGAGAAACCTCAACTGTAATCACACCGACTTTGCAATAAAAAAAAAAAAAAAAATGAAGAGAGCTGTACCGACAGTCTCAAGGAGCCAAACTGCAAATGTATTAGGGCCAGGAACTTCGGATGCTCATCACAGTAAGATCTGGAATAACTTTGAGAGGGAAAAAACCCTTCCTCCTACTGCAGAGTCATGGGCAACACTCAGCTTCTCAAACCAAATTATAAAACTGAGTTTTCTAATAAGAAATTATCAATGTGATAGTGTGTATACAAGCACAGGTCTCTGGATTAGAGTGGTGTCCTAAGCCTGTCTCCTTCACTGTGAAGTACATATTCTAACACCTATTTCATAGGTATATAATAATTAGCATTCACCCTAGTATTTAATTGAAACGTCAAATTCTCAGAAAAAAATAAACAAAAACACAGCCATAAATAAAACAGAACAAAATGTTCAGTTACATAAGAATGTTGCATTAGATTAGCTGGTAGCAATATTTATAATATTCTAAATCACCTATGAGAAACTTAGTATTGTCAATAATATAGACTTGAAAAGAGAGAAAAAAAATCTACCACAAAGTTTATCCTTTTCTCACAATTCTTCCTTGAAGTATTTTTCTTTCACTTGTGAGTAAATGCAAATGGCCACAATTACTCCCCAAAAGAAACACATGGAAAACACAATTTAACCTATGTACTATCAAGCTAGTTCTATAAGTGTAGTATTCTAGTTTACAGTTGAGAAATACTTCCAAATGTTAAATATTAACATAAGCTAAGGAAATTAAGAAATGACGATTAGTTCCTATGAAGATCTGAGTCAGTAATTTCAAATTAAGAACTGTTCCAACTTGAAGCTGGCAGCCAAACGAAGTCTAAAGCGCTTGTTTACAGCACTGATTAAAACAAATCTTTTAGAAAATTCATTCCAGCATTCCAATAATAACTGAGTACTTTAAGACAGTGTAACTGCTGAAATGCCCAATAACTACACAAATTAAATCAAAATGAGTTTCCTTTCGCTGAAAAATGGTGAAAAGAACAAGGGTGGCCAACCAAGTCTTATTTTTAACATTTGACATTATTTTTGTTAAGGGATATTATGAATAAAATCAGTTCACCCACGATTCAAGCTACTTGGAAAAGCCATTAAACATAGGAAAGGAGGTGAAAATTTAAAGACAGATGATTTTCTGAAGATGTAAAGGCATGTGGGATTAGGAAGGACTCGTAGAAGCGACCCAAAGAAGGAACCTTAATATTTTTAAGCATTGGGAACTTTCAACAAATGCTGAAACGTGGTGATTTCTGGGTGAAAAGCTGGTTCCGGGGGGAAAGAAATCACAAGTAGGGAATCAAGAGTTAAGTTGTGGGGCGGGTGGCATTTCGGGGGACGTGGAAGAGCTTACTTTCCGGGATCATTTCTAGTTCCTTCAGGGGCCCTGGACGGGGGAACTAGAAGGACGTGGGAGCCGGTCACCCAGGTCGCGCGATCCTGGAGAGTCAGGGGCTGGGGCTTCGGAACGCCACGAGCCAGCACGCGTGGGCAGCAGGGTCAGGACCCCGGTGAAGAAGGCCAGGTGACAGAGCTGGGGAAGTCGGGAGTGGGAGCAGGGAGGGGAAGGAATGCGGGGATTTCCTGGCTGGCCCGAACAGCCCCGGGTGTGCGCCCGGCAGGGCTCCCGTCCCGGCCCGGCCTCGGGTGCCAGGTGGCGGCCGCGCCAAGCAGCCCGCACCCTCCCGCGCCGCGGCCCTGCCCCTCTCACCTCAGGCCTCGTCGCTCCGCCGCGCCTGTGCTGATCCTCCCACCGGAGCGGCCCGGGCCCTCAGTCCCGCGGTTCACGGGAGGCTCCCGCACCGCTCCCGGTCCCTCGGCTGCTCGCCGCAACCGGGATCGCCCGAAGCTCAAGCAGCGGGGACGCCGCGCAGTCCTCCTTCACCGCCCACCGCGTTGCTCACTTAACTCCGCCCCTCAGGGCCCGGCCCCCCGGACTCAGAGCCAGGTGTCGATTGGCTGCAGCCAGTTACGGCGCCGGCGGCCATTGGCCAGAGGCCGCCGGAGACGACGGGGCGGGACTCTTGGCGGCTGCTATTCCCGTAACGCGGCTCCCCGGCATCCCGGATTCCGGCGGATGAGCCCGGTCCCTTTTCCCAGACTGGATCGAAGGCGTCCCCGCCGCCCCTCCGCAAGGCTGCAGGAGCAGAATGTTACATTTTCCCTGGGATAACTGGGCCTCCGACCGCTGCCTGAGTCGCCCGCACTCCCTTTTCGCCCGGCGCCAGCTGCCTGTTTCCACGGCCTTGCCCCGGGACCGAAGCCGCCCCCGGACGGCCGTGCGCCCTTAGGGACCCGAGAGCGTGGGAGCTCCCTGGGGACAGGGCAGGGCTCGTGGCTCTGACTGCATACCCGATCTCCGCTGGTTGGGGCGACGGCTTCAGTCCGAGGCTTATGTAAACGGTGTAAATTTTTTTTCCGGGTTAGTAAAAGAGTTTGGGAGTAATTGATCAATGAGTCCCTTTGCTGGTGACCTGCCAAGAAACTAGTGGGTTTTTTTTTTGTTGTTTTTTTTTGTTTTTTTTTGTGTGTGTGTGTGTGTGTGTGTGTGTGTGTGTGGTTTGTGCCTTGCAATTTGCGATTAAAATACCTAGGAAAAACCAATTTCATTGTAATTTACCACCTCTCCCGAGCCTGAAAAATGAGTGTGTGTGTGTGTGCGATATTTTTTTCTAAAGTAAGATGAGACGCTTAAAAGATAAGGGGTGTCTGTAAAGAAACACACTTGAGACCAGGGACTTTGGTAGAATGGCTGGCTGCTATAATAGTTTAATGAGCAAATAATACCAATAAATTTAGAAAGTTAAAGTTCTTTACTATATTGACGATTCAGATGGAGTAACATGTATCAAATTATAATCACTCTCCCTGCCCACCTCCCCCATCTCTGCTGCAGATGGAAATCAGGGCCTCACACACTCTACAGTTGAGCTACCCACAGTTGTTTCCTGCTGTCTTGCCGTTCTGAAGGCTCTTTGTCCAGCACTGATTGATCCTTTTCAAATTATGATTCCTTAGCTGTAGGTAAGATAATTTTGAAAAGACGCAGCAAAGGAAACCTTCCAAAGGAGTCCTAGGCAAACCTGGGGTTGGTGCTGCAGCTAAAGATGTATTCAGCTCCTGCTCCCTGCCATCCTATATCTGTCCTGCAGGGTGTGTGACAAGATGGTATTCAACCTTTGCTATGGTTAGGGGACTTTATTTTAAAACAAACTTCTATGAAACTTTATTCAATTGAAAATTTTATGAAGTTGCTGCAAAATTTTCTTTGGGGCAATGTGTAGTGGTTACATGCACCCTCTGTTTTCAGATTGTGTAAATTCAGATCCTGGTACTGCTACTTCCCATCTCTGTGGTCTTGGGGAAGTTTTTGTCAGTTTCTTCATCTGCAAAATAAGAACAATGGTACCAACCTACTAAAATTGTTGCAAGGACCAAATGATTTAAAATACAGAAGGGATTTGCGCATAATACATGTCTAATCAGTACCAGTTATTCCTTTTAAAAATGCTTTATGTGTATGAGTGTGTTGCCTGCATGTATGTAAGTGCATCCATGTCATGCAATGTGGAAGTCAGAAGAGATCATTGAATCCCCTGGAACTAGAGTTACAGATGGTTGTTAGCCACCATGTGGGTGCTGGGAATCAGACCTGGGTCCTCTACAAGAGCAGCCAGTGCTCTTAACTATTGAACCACCTATCCAGCCCCCATTATAGTATTTATTAGCAATCATTTTTCTCTGAGATGGTTGTGGGTAGAAGAAGGGCAACGTCTTACAATACATTTGCCAGCCTTGGCACATTGGTGAGGAATAGAAAGGTCTAGGCCAGTCCTCTTAGTATCTTCAATTCTTTGGGCCTTCAGCCATATTTACCTTGTCACTTCATTCCCAGGGGTTTTTGTATTGGCTCAGCTCAGGCCTTGATCTCAAGAAACTCACAGTTTGTGAGCATGATTAAAATCCTAAGTAAAGGGGCCTGAAGAGATGGCTCAGTGGTTTAGGGCACTTGCTGTTCTTTGAGAGGACTTGGGTTTGGTTCCCAGCACCCACATTGTGCAACTCACAACTGCGTGTTAACTCCAGTTCCAGGGAATCCAACATCTTCTTTGACCTCCACAGGCACCTACATGTAAGTGTTGTAAATTACAGTTTAATAAATTACAGAGTCACACACACAAACACACACACACACACACACCACAAATCTAAAAAAACAAATCCTAACCAAAAAGGATCAATCAGCGCTGGACAAAAGAGCCTTCAAAACAGCAAGAGAGCAGGAAACATCTACTCACCGGGAGGTGCATGACTTTGCAGACCCCTCTGCAGAGTGTTGGCTCTGAAATGACCACCTTCTGTTTAGGAATTTGTCCCTAGAAAGCTCTGCCAAGGATTGCAAAGTGCGCATTTTTTTTGTCATTGTGGTCTCTTGTTGATTCTAAATATGATTGATAATGAATACTAGTTTGTGGAAGAAAAGAGAAGGAAGAAGAAAGGGAGCAAGGGGAGGAAGGAGGGAAGGATAGAGAGGGATGGACAGAAGGACAGAGGGAGAAAGGAAGGAGGGGGAGAAAGAGGAAGGTTAAAAAAAAGTCAGGTCAAAATGCAGAGGTCAATGGAAAAAGAGAAAGTGGTAACAAACTTTCCATTTATGTTCGAGAGTAGGTAAACACAAGAAAACACCTATAGAATTAAGGTGACAGCCGGGCGTGGTGGAGCACGCCTTTAATCCCAGCACTTGGGAGGCAAAGGATAAAATCTTTACCAGCTACACATACAAAAGAGGATTAATACCAAGAATATGCAAAAAACAAAGAAATAAGAAAATAAAAAAAAAAAAAAAAAAAAAAAAAAAAAAAAAAAAAAAAAAGAATTAAGGTGACAAATATTGCAGACATCTTTACCTGCTTCTATTTACATAAATCTCCTGACCAGGATATCCATATACTTCTTCAGTTGTGCCCCAGTGGTGTTTCTGAAACTCGGTATCAGGCTTGAAGCTAACCATGTATCCTGTATCAGTCTAATGATTTCAGCACCCATGGGGACGATTCAGTAATCGCTCTGACCTCACAATTTCTCATCTTTTTCTAGCAATCATCTTCATGTTCACTTCATGTACAAGAACCTACGGATGAAGCCACACCTCAACCTAGCCGTTGAATGAGATTACTCCACCTCCAACATTTCAGGTTGTGTTTCCTTCTCCGTACCCATAGCCACCTACGCCTGTATCTTTCCTTTTGTGCTAACTCCCACTGTATCTTCAATTTGTCTTCATTGTGACCTCCAGTTCTCAGAACTTGCTATTTCTAGCTTCTCTTCCTAAGCAAAGAGAACTTTTAAATCAACTGTTTCAACTATATAATCACTTCTATCTTCAGTGCCCTGGATCTTCAACCATGTGTTCCTTACCAATCTATTTCCCAATGATTTCCCTTTTCCTTAAACTATAGCCTTGCCCAACATTTATTCTTGATATAGAAATCTGTTTCATTATTCTCTGGAAGGGTCAAGACTACAATTTGTGAGCATCTTTGAGTTTTTCCAGTTTAGGATTCAACTACTGTACATACCTATCAACTTTACCCCACAAGGAAGGCCCTTCATAAAAATGTTCATAATAAATATTAATTTCACTACATATATATATACACATATATATATATCAAGCAGTCAGCTACTTTTGTGTCCTAAAGTCCAGGAATAAAGTAGATACTAAATATTCCAATTTCTTCGATTTATTTCCTCAGTAAACGTTTCCTATCACTTATGTCCCTGCACTGAGATATGGCTTTAGGAAGACACATGCACTATCCTTGAAGGATTAAAAGTCTAATGAGATAGGGCTGGAGAGATGGCTCAGCAGTTAAGAGCACTGACTGCTCTTGCAGAGAACCCAGGTTCAAATCCCAGCATCCACATGGCAGCTAACAACTGTCTATAACTCCAGTTCCAGGGGACCTGACACCTTCTTCTGACAGCTGCAGGCATTGCACGACATGGGTGCACTTACATACATGCAGGCAATATACTCGTACACATAAAATAAAAATAATAAACTTTTTAAAAAAAAAAAAGTCTAATGAGATAAATAAACGAAGAGCTAGATGAACGATGATGGCGATGGCACACTGCAATGAAGAAGGTAAGAAGAGTACTCTGGGAGCTCTAGTGTTTGAATACTATAAGAACTGGGGACAGTAAGAACACAGTGATTCTCTCTTCCTCATTCATACACCCTTACATACCTGTGGATTAAAGATGGCCACAAATCCTTTGGCCCTCAATGGGGAGATGAAATCTGTTTCCCTTCTTAAATTTGGGCAGACTTGAGACTCCATTGATCAGAGGAGTCCAGAAAGAGACCCTGGGTGAGAAGGGGGTTCAGCCTCTAAGAAGAGCTTCCACCTTGGGCTTTGGGGTTCCTGAGCCATCAAGTAGGAAATACTGCTAATGTATTAGACTGTGTCCTAGTTTGCTTCTCTATTGCTGTGATAAAACACTGACCAAAACCAACTTGGGGAGGAAAGGGCTTATTTCATCTTACTCTTCCAAGTGACAGTCCATCATGGAGGAAAGCTGTGGCAGGAACACAGCAGGGCAGGAACATGGAGGCAGGAGCTGAAGCACGGACCACAGAGGAGTGCTGTTTACTGGCTTGTTCCTCTGACTTGTGCTTAGCCTACTTTCTTAGACAAACCAGGACCACCTGCCCAGCGGTGGTATCATCTACATTAGGCTGGGCCCTCCCACATCACTCAGCAATGAAGAAAATGCTTCACAGATGTGGCCACGGGCCAATCTGATAGAGGAAATTCCCCAATTGAGGTTTCCTCTCTACAAGTTGTGTCAGGTTGACAACCAAAACCAACCATGACAGATCATCTGGAGAGGACCGAGACTACCTGGGGAAAGAGAGTGGTCCCACTGATCCTTGCCTTCCTGTTGTCCCTATTAGGGACCAGACATGTGTGTGAAGTTATCTTGGAACTTCCAGATCAGATTAGCCAGGAGATGAATACTGCCAAGTGACCCCAATTGATACCACCCAAGGCAGAAGAATTATCTCGCTGAACCCTGTCCAGAAATTCTAATACATATTAAAATATTTTATTAATTTTATTTTATGTGTATGAGTATATTGCCTACATGTATGTAAGTGCACTTGTGTCATGCAGTGCCTGCAGAAGTCAGAAGAGGGCATCTGATCCCCTGGAACTACAGTTACAGACAGTTGTTAACTGTACTGTGGGTGCTGGGAATCAAACCCAGGTCCTCTGCAAGAGCAGCCAGTGCTCTTAACTGCTGAGCCATCTTTCCAGTCCTCTCATATATTAAAATGTTGCAAATCACTGTTGTGTTAGGAACAGTAAGTAAAATCCTCAAGTTCATCGTGCAAATTACTAAAAATCTGACCGTCTTACTCCCTGTAGCTATCAACACTTCTATCACCTAAGCCCCCCTTTTTTTTCTTTTTTTTTTGTATGCCATAAGACTCCTTCATTACCTGACCGCCCCTTCCAGTCTTATCTCCTAACATTACCTCCAGCTCTAGGCTCTCATATTACCTATCTGTTAATGGTTCCTGGGCCAAGATCCAATATGCTGTTTCTTACTTCCATGCCAAGAAAAAGACAGCTTATGCTGTTTTTGTGGTCTGTTGCCTAACTTGCTTGCTGTTTTCCAATATTCATCTAAGGAGTTGTTTCCTCCCAGAAATCTGCCTTGGGCCATGTGACACTCAGAGCAAAAATTCAAGTAATTCCCAATGCATGATCTTTTACCTTAGACAAAGAATTGAGGAGGGTGGAGTCTTCTAGACCACAGAGGAAAAGGGGAATGGAGTAAACGAGATACCACAATTTGGATTTGGTTTGAGTATGCCTCCCACAGGGTTAAGAGGAAGTTTAAGAATTGGGGGTCTAGTGGAAGGTAGTTATGTCACAGAAGTACCACCTCAGAAAGGATTAGTGTTGATCTCATTAGAGAAGGTTGTTACCAAGCTCACCCTATGTACATGGACTTGTTTCACATGGTATTTCCTTTCTACTTTTCTGCCACATTGTGATGCAGCCAGGATGCCTTCACCAGAGGTCAATGGGGGAACAGGGGGGAGTCATTCAGTCTTGGACTTTCAGCCTTCAGTATAGTGAGCTAAAAATTTCTTTCTTATAAAAAATCCTACATCTGGTATTGTGTTATAGCAACCCAGAATGGATGAATACACCAGGTTATATGGTAGACTAGGATATTTTCTGTTCCTTAACTTAGGCTCTCTGAACATTCAATATTGTGAATGCTATAGTGGCCATGTATCATGACTGTTCAGAAAAGGAAGAAAGCTGTTGTCTAGAGAGACTAAAAGATGCTTTTGGGAGGAAACATGACACTGGAACAGATTGTGTGTGTGTGTGTGTGTGTGTGTGTGTGTGTGTATTGGATGCTCATGGTTGTGTCTGTGTGCTCTTTCCTGTGCATGTGGAGGTCAGAGGTTGACACCGAGTGTCTTTATTGCTCCCAGCCTTATTTTTTGAGACAAGGACTCTTACTGAACCCGGAGCTCACCATTTTGGCTAGCCTGGCTGGCCAGCAAGCACTGGATCTTCCCCTCTGGCACCCCCAGCACTGGCATTACAGATGTGTGCCACTGCACCTGGCTTTTATGTGGGTACTGGGAATTCAAACCCAGTTTCTCATGCTAGTGTAGCAAGCACTTTGCCCATCTCCCCAGCTGCTGAAGCTTGTTCTTGAAAGAGGAATAGAAACCTGGCAGTTGAGAACATGGAAGGAGGTAACAGAGGGAGCAGCAAGAGGAAGCAGCAAGATGAAAAGACCAAGTGTTGGTCAGGTGGTGTGGTGAGAGCAGCACAGAGTCCAAGGTGAAAGATAAAATGGAAGAAGGTGGTAGAGGCCTTCTTTAAAGTCCATGTCACATGGGAAATTTGGACTTCATTTTGCAGGGAAGTACTATAGTATTTTTATTGGTTGTTGTTTTGAGACAGGGTCTTATGAAGCCCATGATGGCTACTCAAATTTGATAATATAGTCAAGGATTACCTTAAATTTCTGATCCTCCCGACTTCATTTCCCAAGTCCTAGGATTCTAGGTGTGCACCAAGATGCCCAGTTTATGTGATGCTGGGGATCAAGTCCAGGGTTTCATGTATGGTAAGCAAACACTCTACCAATTGAGTGATATCCCCAGTCCAGTACTGAAGCTTTTAAAACAGAAACTGATTTATAAAGCCAGTTCCGTGAGCACTGTGGGGGATGAGTTAGAGAGGCAAGAAACTGGAGGTGACAGATTACTTCAGGGTGTGCTCTTGCATTAAGGGGGCCTTGAATGAGAGCAGTTCCTCCTTTGGTGGAAGGAAGGGGCCATTCTGAATGATGCCAAGGAGATAGATAGGCAGGGCTGTACAGGGGATACTGAGGAATATCAGGCAAATGAGCTTGGAATATGAGTGAGGACTATTGGGCAAATCAGGCAGACCAGCAGTTCTTAGACAATTTGTAGCATCTTAGAACTTCAAATTCCTCATCTGTGCAAGTGGTTACACATGATACATGCACACTAAGTTTCTGGAAGGCAGGTATAACATGTGGAGGTAACTGCCTCCAGAGAGCAGATCCTTAATATTTATGTGTACTTTGAATTTCCTTTAGTCACTGGAAACAGGTAGTGAAGTCAGGGAGACATTCAGGATGAATGCAAGATCTGTATCTTGGGCAAGATGGTGGAGAGTACAAAAGAATGGTACATATTTGTCAAGGAAGAAGTTACTGTGTTCTAGAACACAGCTGCTTTTCTCTTTCTTTTTGGTCTTTTTATTTTTTTAATTTATTTTTTGTTCTTTTTGAGGCAGGGTCTCCCTGTAGCCCCAGCTGTCCTGGAGCTCACTTATGTAGACCAGGCTGGCCTTGAACTCACAGAGATCCTTTGGTCTTTTTGAGACAGCGACTCCCTATAGCCCCAGCTGGCCTAGAACTCACTATGCAGACCAGGCTGGACTTGAACTCACAGAGATCCACCTGCCTCTGCCTCCCAAGTGCTGGGACTAACGGCTTGAACACAGCTTCTTAGACTGCACTGTTTAAATATGGAGTTTAAGAATATGGGGATCATAAAAAAATTTGGTCATAGTAAAGGTTTCAAACATGGAACGAATGTGAGGTAGGTCTGGCAGTGCTTGCCTGTGTTGCATTGGTGACGTCACTGCAGCCTGAGTTCTGAACATACAACACACGTGCTTTATCATGAACGTTCTGTATGTCATCATGTCACGAGAAACCAATGAATGCTGCCTGAAATACCTCAGCTCAGATTCAAGACTACTATATGGTATGAATTGTAGTGCTTTTACTGGACACACAGTTTTCGGTACTTGTAGAAACATACTGGCTTAATTATGAAAACAGACTTTTAGTATTTTCCTACTGCCATCCCTGGTATATATTGTTAGTATATCTTTGGATTGTGATATAATGTCTCCTATTTGAGTTGCTCACTTGAGTGTCATAAAAAAATTACTGACTACATTTTGGCATGAGATTAGGACAAAAATTCCAACAATTTCAGAAACAAGCATAAATATATTTCTGCTGTTTTGCACTACATATCTATGTGAAGT